TACAGTACTTGGTTAAACTATGATCTGGAAACCGGAGCACCAGATATGCAAAAATCTTCCTCCAGACTTTGTGTGCTACCCTGACACTGCAGTCATCCTGGACGGGGATGATATGACTTACAAGATTTTTTTTCATATCAGATTTGATTTTAATCGATTCCTCCTGCCCTCAATTTCTATAATAAAATCACAGAAAATACTTTCAAAAAGTGCCTTTATTTCAATCATCTGTTCTGTGAGTTGTATGAGGGAGCATAACGGTCAGGATCCAAGAAATTTTAATTGCAAGAATGCAGTCATCGTTACAGCAGAATAAAGATGTGATTTTATAACAATGTCTTAAAATTACAAGAAGTCGTTTTAATGAGAAATAAAGATTCAGATTGATCTGACTAACCAGCTCAGTCCATGTGGTTCTGACATTTGTCAGTAATCAACAGGATGTACATTTCCACCTCAACTGACCAGGTAAGCATTAAGGTAAAAATAAAAAATAGAGCAAATACTGTAAACAAAATGGAAAAAGAGCAACTGATAGAAATACTTTCTATATAAAGAAAAGCAAAAACGTTAATAGCAGGAGAAAAGTTGTTGGCAACATTAGCTGAGCCGATCTCTCCCTCCAGGAAGCCATGAAACAGAACTTCTGTCCAACTCCAACTATGATAAAGATTAAAAAAAGAAAGAAAACGGGAAGTTAAAATAACAAATAATGCCACTTTAATAATTCAGATCTAAGGCGTTCTGGAATCTATTAATGCCATTTTACAAATTTCACAAATCAATTAGAAGGTTTCACAAGTGTTTTATTTATCTGCTGTTAGTACAGAATAATCTAGTTAGGTTTGAAATGACTAGGTGTTGTAGTTTTTAAAGTACAACACATTAAAAAAGCTCAAGATAGTGAAAAATTAAGTGTAATCGCCCTTTAGCTATTTTCCGAATTAGATGCTACATTGGGAAGCTAACTTCAGCTTCGACTGATAGCTGGGGCACAATATAGACAGATCTATATATGTTTATATAGATATATATCTATATCTATCTATAAAGCATAGATATGTAGATTGCACACTGCACAGATAATCAAACCACTGAACGTTTACATAGCACCTTTGTAAGCTTGTCCCTGTTAGCTACGTCAGACATGAGGCATTATGGTGAATACAAACGATTTATTAACTTACCTTTGAAGTTATTGTGAAGTTTTGACACATCCAGTTTAAATCCTTTGTTGTTGGAGCGTTTCAGGACGTCTGAATAATTTTATAGGCATCATTAATAGTCCTAAAGCAACTGAGGAGCCACTGTTAACGTCCTGCTGCCTGTGCACCGGAAGCAGTGTATGTGGCAAAAAAAATGCGGAAGTGCTAAAACAGAAGTCCGTGGCATAT